TATATATATATACTCCCTAGGTCGTAAGTCACCCCAAAAATCACAAGCAATTTGAATTATTATATATATTTAAGAATTATTTAGGATATTTTGAATATTTTAGAAATAAATAATTTTATATTACAATTCGGTAAAAATAAAAGGCAAAGACTCAACCAACTGTAAAGAAGATTCAATACAAAAAAAGTCAAAATTTCTTTAAAAACAGTGATGTTTTGGCCAACTATAAGGCCTTCATCAGACATCTTATTTTTAAATATTGAAGAATATATTTTGCATATTTTATTTTATAGGCTATATTTAGAATATATTTTGAATCTATATTACTTAAGTGTGCGTCTATTGTAAAATAATAATTCAACATGTCTGTTTCCAGGTAGCAAACAGGAAATATAATTAAAATGAACTGAAATTCAAAGAAAACCATGCAAACCTAATAAGTGCAATTTTTTTTACAAGAAAAAGGAAAGTTGATTAATAATGTTTTGAAGTTGGAAGGTTTTATAGGCCTTTACAAGTAGATTGATAGATTTTTGGACACTTCATTTCCCAGAATGCATTGAATGTGTTACTTATTTAATTATTTATTTATTATTTCATTTAATTTCCGGTTAAGCTTCCTGTGTGTTGTAGCCTATTCAGTTCAATTTTCAGTGAATTGAAAGGGCATCAGCTGTGTGGATGATTTATGCACTTTACAGCTTAAATGAAGTATTGAAGCTGCACATCTGAATGTTTTAGCCCATAGATGTCCACTGTCAGTTCATTACTACACACATGATTTTTATATGAACTGAAAAACAAACCAGTTTTTTTTCTGTGATAATTAACATTATGCCATAAATGCTATTAATTAATCTGAATGAGTTTGAACTCATAATGTTTCTCTAATTGCCCAGCAGCCTTAGTGAACGCACACAACACTGAAAAAATGAGCGTGTGTGTCACTGACAAAACTCTTTCAAAGCAGTTACTCATCCAGTGACTAGTTCTTCATCAGAAGTGCACATATATAGTTTCTGACTGGGATCTTAGAAACACAACGCTGAAAGTCTGGTTTTCAGATCCTGTGACTTGTCCTTCCTCTGTGATGCTGCTCTCAATCCTCTCTGTTTCCTCCCTCTTTTCTTTCTTTTCTCTTTCTCTGGCTCTCAGTCTCCTGTTAGCACTCAGGCGATTCGTCCCGCTCCTGCAGCTCAAACTAAACTGGTCCAGTTTAGTTCACCGAGCGCTTCGGCCCAGACCAGCACCGCAGCTGGCCCCGCTGTGAGCATCTGCCCTGTCCCATCCTCTCTCTCTCTCTCTCTCTCTCTCTCTCTCTCTCTCTCTCTCTCTCTCTCTCTCTCTCTCTCTCTCTCTCTCTCTCTCTCTCTCTCTCTCTCTCTCTCTCTCTCTCTCTCTCTCTCTCTCTCTCTCTCTCTCTCTCTCTCTCTCTCTCTCTCTCTCTCTCTCTCTCTCTCTCTCTCTCTCTCTCTCTCTCTCTCTCAGTTTCCCACTCATCAGCATCAGTTGTTTTATGTTTATGTAAGCTTTAAGATGATAGAAATGTCAGCTGTATATTACCATAGAGCTTCAGAGGAGAATTTAATATTCAGTCACTCAAGGCTGTGTATTATAGCAATTTTAAAATTAAGATTTAAAGGGTTACTCCACCCCAAAATGAACATTTTGTCATTAATCACTTACCCCCACGTCGTTCCAAACCCGTAAAAGCTTTGTTCGTCTTCGGAACACAATTTAAGATATTTTGGATAAAAACCGGGAGGCTCGTGACTGTCCCATTGACTGCCAAGTAAATAACACTGTCAAGGTCCAGAAAAGTATGAAAGACATCGTCAAAATAGTCCATCTGCCATCAGTGGTTCAATCTGAATTTTATGAGCGACGAGAACACTTTTTGTGCGCAAAGAAAACAAAATATCGACTTTATTAAACTTTTTCTTCTCCTCCGTGACACTTCCTGCAAGCGACTTCCGTGTTCTCTGTCTGTACGCTGGCCTCTACGTTTACGTTTACGTTTAGCCGTGACCTGCTAACGTAGAGGCGTTAAAAAAAAAGAGCCTGAGCAAACCTAAAAACAGACTTAAAAAAAAATATATATATATAAAAAAATAAAATAAGAGAAAAAAGCTTTAAAATAAACGAAAACAACTGAAAATCAACATATAAACTGACATTTTTTAAATTGGTTCCCTCAATAAGCATCATTTTATCTAAGAGCCAGGATTCACACGGTCTTGGAAAACCTGAATATATGAAGGAATTTTTTTTATAAGTGTGATTCAGGGTTCCCTTTCATGGGAACTTCAACAACGAGTTGGTGTTTTTTCAATGTATGCTTCAGATATGGGTCACGACGAGGCGTTCCCCATAGCGACCCCTAGAGGACGCAGTGTCTCGTTCCCTACTCAGGGAACCATGGTTACATAAGTAACCTGAGACGTTATTATCATTAACTAAAGCTAAAAAAAATGGATTTAATTACTTGAAATAAAATAAACGTTTAACTGAAATAAAATAAAATATAAAACAATGAAGCTTATTTTATTTCAGCCAGTTGCCAAGGCAACATTTACTAAAATAGTAAAAAGTACTAAAATAACTAAAACGAAATAAAATAAAACTAATAAGTTATAAAGGGGTCATATGACATTGCTAAAAATAACATTATTTTGTGTATTTGGTGTAATGCAATTTGTTTACACTGTTTAAGGTAAAAAAACCACATTATTTTCCACATACTGTACATTATTGTTTCTCCTCTATGTTCCGCCTTTCTGAAACGCGTAGATTTTTACAAAGCTCCTCGTCTGAAAAGCGAGGTGTACGCTGATTGGCCAGCTGTCCAGTGCGTTGTGATTGGCCGAATACCTCAAGCGTGTGATGGAAATGTTATGCCCCTTACCATATTTGGAAACACACAGCGCCTCCACGACGTGGCGGCGGTGGCTACAATACTACAGCAAGAATGAAAGTTATGTATACATTTGGGCGGTGTTATGCAGATCTTTCCATACAGTGACGTCGATTTTTGGGGGATTGTTTGAATGAGGTGTTTTAGGAAGGTGTGGATGAGTCTTAACTTTTATAAAGAATATCTCTTTGGGTTTGAGACTGTAATCTTTGCGACTTTACGGATCTTATATATGCACGAACAGCTTGTAACACTCCAAAGACAAAGGAAAACATGAGATTGCATCATATGATCCCTTTAACTAAAATGAAAGTGAAAACAGAAAATCTAAAAATACAATCTAATTCAAAACAATAACAAAAACTATGTGTGTGTGTATATATTATATATATATATATATACACACACACACACACACACACACATTTTTCACACACATTTTTTTAGTTATGTAAAGCTCTAAAATATTTTATTTGGCAGGAATATAAAATCATTAAAAAAATCATAAAAAATAGTTGATATTTCTGGAATTATGTTGTTTGATTATTTTAATGATTTATTATTATTTTAATGATTTATTATTATTTTATTTAATTATTTAAATATATTGACACTGCTAGTTTCTGTAAATATAAAAGTTTGAAAATAAGCAGCTTTATCATTACAGCAAAAGCACCAGAAATATTTTGGTCAAAAAGTACAAAATGTTGCGGTAATAGATCTAGTCCGGTCAATATTTGTGTGAGCACTGTATGGACTAATCAACAACCAAAACCAGAACTATATGCATTGTAATCTGATTGAAATGAATGTGTTTGGAGTGTTGTGCTTTTAAATCTACTCCTGCACTCTTGTGCTTATCTATAAAGTTGTGTTTTATTAGATTTCTTACATAAAGACAAAGAACAGACAGTAAAAACTCAGCATGGCTGTAAGAGATGGAGAGCGAGCGCCTCAGGAGCAAACCAAGTGAACTGTGAGTTCTCAGGTGCTCTGAGTTCTCTCTCCCTCTCTCTCTCTCTCTCTCTCTCTCTCGCTCTCTCTCTCTCTCGGCTCCTGTCGTCCCCCGCTCTCTCGGGACACGTGATGTGACAGGGCGCGCTGTGGCCTTCTCTCCTGTTCTCTGTGGCCTTGCTGGCAGGCAGACGTCAGCTTGTGTTTATCTCCGTGTCTCTGCTCCTTCCTCCTCTAGAAGGCCCCCGTGGCAGCTGCCGTGGCAGTGACAGCTCCCCAGCAGGTCCAGCCAGCCTTGGGCCCCCAGGGGCCCCTCACTCAGATGCCACTGGCCCCACAGAGCGCAGCCGCCCCAGCCCCCGGAGTTCCGCTTGTCTCCCAGGTCTGTATGCCCTCCTGTATCGAAGCCTGCAAGTTTCTCTCTCTCTTTATCTATTCTTTTTCTCAGCTCAAGTGAGTGACTGTTGGACCCCTCAAGCCTCCCTGGTTAACTGTCAGGACTTGGTTAAGCTCCATCCGAACCACACACACACACACACACACACACACACAGCTGCCAGCACGTTCATGTATAGACAAACAAACACACATGTGGCAGTGCCAGTCTATAGACATCTGGGCATCACATCTGCACGCAAACACAGACATGCATGTTCACATACACTACCATACAAAAGTTTGCGGCTGGTATGATTTTTTTTAATGTTTTTGAAAGCTGCTCAACAAGGCTGCATTTAGTTGATCAAAAATAACAGTAAGATGTGAAATGTTATTACTATTTAAAATAACTGTTTGCTATGTCAATATATTGTAAAATGTCATTTATTCCTTTTATTCAAAGCTGTATTTTCAGCATCATTACTCCAGTCTTCAGTGCTTCATATTTCTGTGGAAACTGTGATACATTTTATTTTTAGGATTCTTTGATGAATAGAAAGTAAAAAAAAAACCCAGCTTTTATTTGAAATAGAAATCATTTGTAGCATTTTATAGTGTATTACCAGGTGAATATCACAAACATGTCAAGAACATGTATGGGTCATGTTTATCCCCTAAATAAAAAAATATTAAATAATAATAAAACCGTTGAAATTTTGTTGTATGCATTTGTCATTTTTATTTAATCTCTTTATTTTAAAAATGTGTATAGGTAGTATTTATAAAGTTTTAGCTTTTAGTTTTGGATCTGTTTTTAGTTGTTTTAATACTACAACTGATTGCTTCTGTTGTCCTCATTTGTAAGTCGCTTTGGATAAAAGCGTCTGCTAAATGACTAAATAAATAAATAAAATAAAATAAATAAATTATGGCCGGTGACAGAAGAAAATGCAAACATGAGCCAGATGTTTTCTGTTTTCTGACAGGTGTTTTACTGCATCCAAACAGAGACAGAAAATTACAGATTTTGTGGGGGAAAAAAGTATAACATTTTCTTTGACATTAAATGGAGTGTTGGAACACAGTTTTCTATTCCTTCGTAGATTGTAAGTTAAATGATACATTTGTTATATTTTTTTGTCGAAACTTTTGTCATTATTCTGTTATTTTGATAAGTGTATTAAAGCTGGTACATATATAATTTGAAAAATCTTCATTCTTATTTTGTGAAAAAAAAAACCTTAAGAAAAGCTTTTATTGATATTTTTAAACTCTGCATCATCAAACCAGCTAATATTAGTCCTCTTTTGCAAATCGTCAGAAATTTGCAGGGCTGTGTTTTGAAAATGAAATTTGCCTCATGTAAGATCAAAGGTTAATTCATTTTCATCCTGCACTAATCATCTCCTCTTCCTGTAGTTGAAGTTTGTTTGAAGTTTGAAGTTTATTTACTTTTATGCTTGCTTAGCAATACCGAGATTGAATTATAGCAGAAAGTACACTGAAAGATAAAATTGCAAGAAAAAACATAAAATACAAAAACATAAAAACAACATTTTCAAAACATATTCAATAATACTATTCCAAACAATAATAAAAGATATACATTTGCACATATATATATATACATATACGTCTGTCCATACATAAACAAAATATACATCCATTCACACACGCACATAAACATAAAAAGTTTTGAAACATACAAGTGCAACTGCAAAAAGGACCCTAAGCATCCACATTACATTCATTGAACAGTCTAATACCAAAAGGAACGGTAGAACTAGCATAATGTTAGTAGTTTGCATGTTTTTTTCCACTGTACACGTTCAAATCCATCTGATCATCTGCTGTCGCTGCTCTCAGGACGCGAAGATCGATCCGGAGGAGTTCACCAGCCGCCTACAGTCCGAGCTGAAGTCGTCTCCGCAGCCGTACCTGGTCCCTTTCCTGAAGGTACGTTAACACACGCGAGTCCTCCTCCTCTCGTTCCTCACGGTCAGTAGCCGGCAGGCGTGTCCAGCCAGGCACAATACGTGTCACGTGCCGCCCGGTCTGAACTGACACGCCAATGCAGCCGCACTGTCATGCGATGTTAGTTCGCTTATGTCAAAATCCTCCAGAAATAGCCATCGGCAGCCCGCGGTGTCCTCAAGGGGCCTGGGATCTCAGCGAGATGTCTTTGATTACTGAGGTTAATGATCTTTGTCGGACTGTTCGGCCTCTATGAGGAAAAAATGACAGTTCACACACTGGAAATTGAATTGAAATGAAACATATGAGATGCTTTTATTATTGTGAGTGATTCAGGTAGCACAAACCCTTTACTGTAATATAGTTTTCTATAATTATTTCACAAATGCTTATAGATCATTAAAATATATATTTTTAAATGGTTATAGATCATAAAAAGTGTTGGTAATAATTTACAATAAGGTCTTTTTGGTTAACATTAGTTAATGCATTAACTAATATGAACTAACAACGAACAATATATTTTTTACAGCATTTATTACTCTTTTTAATGTTAGTTAATACAAATATTTATGTTCATGTTCATTCACAGTACATAAACTAAAAGTAAAAACAAATAAAATAAAATAAAAGATACAACGTTACATTTTAATAATGGATTAATACATTTTGAAATTAATATTAATTAACATTAATAAATGCTATTTAATTAATGTTAATTTTTAACTAATATAGTTAATGTTAACAAATGAAACCAGCATTGTAAAGTGTTACCAAAGTTTTATATATTGTTCTCTCCCTGTGTGTGTGTGTGTGTGTGTGTGTGTGTGTGTGTGTCTTGATCTTGTAGTGTAACCCTTTCATTGCTGTAACCCTTAAATCCAGACTGCCAGAGGGTTACTGTAAATGCATTACTGTAAATGGGTGGCTTTTGCACTGATGGCTTGGGCCCGTCAACGCTGCTTGCAGCATTAATTGAAATCTGTAGACACAAATAGACAAAGTAACACTTAAATTTGTATTTTGGATGATTTCTTTTTGAAAGAAGACATGTTATAGAAGCAAAATGTTAGGGTTAGGGTGAATGAAAAAAATGAAAAACAATGGTTTTGCCTGTAGTGTCTTACCTTAAATGTGCAGAAATAGTATAAATAAACAGAATAATTGGCTCCAGTCTGTTGAATTATTGAAAAATGGCTGCATTACCACCTCGGGTGTGCCTTATTTTTCCATAATACAATGGCCTCCATATGTAGTCCCAGTATACCGGAATCTAGACAAATGGTGGTGAGAAACTAACCCTAACCCGTTACGCACAAATACACAGGTTCCAATGAGCTTGTGATATATTGGATTTGATATCTTCAGTGGGCAAATACTCGACTCAGCAGTTGATTCTGAATTGGAATCGACTCACATAATATCAGGTGTACATTAGTGGATGTTTATCACATTTGCTGCATTAAATGCTACATGCTTTACATATATATTGTTTATGGATGACCATCTAAATGTTTACTTTGGGACTAACTCTGTGTTTGTGTGCATGCATGTGTGTGTTTGTGTTTGTAGAAAAGTCTCCCTGCGTTGCGTCTGTCTCTCCTGAACAGCCAGCAGTCTCTCACTCAGCCTCTGCAGCCCAACAAAACCAGCGTGACGCCGGTCCAGACGGGTGTCAGTGTGCGTCCGCACCAGCCCAACAGCACCACCGTACTGCCACAGGTATGAGCTGGTCTCTCATCCTCTCAAATATGCTCCACTTGTCTCTTTTTCATTCATACAGTTCGGCAGAAACAATATATAACCACACCATAACTAGTATCTGATATCGAACATATGATATGTTTATTTAAAGAAGAAGATTTTTAATACATTCTATATTATAAACATCTGAAAGGTGCTTTCTAAACATTCATTTAACATCAGACAGGAAATGTTCTAAAGACATACTGTACACGCCCTAAAAACACCCTAAAATCCAGATGCATCAGATAGAAGTTTCCGTGATGTACATCTTGCACTTATATGAATAAGAGAGTTTGAACTCAAAACTCCCGCTTTAGTCACCCAGAACTTTTATTGAAACCAAGTAGTCTCATTCCAAAATCATAATCCATGTCCTTATTAACATATGTCCGCACATATTTGCATATCATGCTTATTCTTATTCATGCTTAAACTTGCTTCAAGCCATTGTTACTTATTTTACGTCCAAAGAGTTTTTTTTTTTTTTTTTTTTTCAAATTAAACATGTCATGTACTTGGCTGTTTAATTGATATATTAAATGTTTTTGAATTTTTAAATAATTTATTTGATGATTTTGAAAGTCTTTTCTGCTCACCAAGGCTGCATTTATTTGATGAAAAATACAAAGAAAAAACAGTGAAATATTATTACATTTTAAAATAACTTTTCTATTATAATGAGTTGTAAAATGTAATTTATTGCTGTGATGCGCAGCTGAATTTTCAGCATCATTACTCCAGTCTTCAGTGTCACATGATCTTCAGAAATCATTCTAATATGCTGATTTGCTGCTCAAGAAACATTTCTGATTATTATCAATGTTAAAAAAAACAGTTGTGCTTCTTCATATTTTTATGGAAACTGTGAAATGTAATGCTTTGATCAACTGAATGCATGTTGCTGAAAACGAATTTCTTGAATTTTCTTTAATTTAATTTTCTTTAATTTTTTTAATGGGGTCAAATGACCCCAAACATTTAACCATTAGTTCAAAAGGTTGAAAAACACAGATATAATTGTTAAAAAGCTATATTGTCCAGCCCAGAGTGTAACATGTGTTGATAGTATTGAATATTGACTATGAGTTTGTCTCTTCCTGTAATGGCTCAGTCTGTGTAGCCGTTCTGAAGTTTTCCGTATCTCCCCGAGGTTTGCAGGCTCTGAGCTGTAATGTAGAGACAGTGTGTCCGGGCACAAGAAAACAAGTCAGAGAAATATGCAGGCGGAGGGAAAGTGGAATGGATGGATGGGATTTGCTCAGGGCGGCTCTGAGGGACTCACGGGGGACGGAAGCGTCTCTATTAGTGTTGTTCCTGTTTTCTGCCCCTCTCCTCACTTTGTCACTACATGTGCTTGGGAAAAATTCAGCCTGTGTGTTTCAGACCACACCTAGATGTGCATTTTATTAATCACCTTCATGACAACATGGTGAAATCATTTTAAATTCTGTGAATAAAGGACCTACATTTTAAACCTACATAAAATTAAATAGACTATTTAAATACACGTTCTTAGTCTTATTATGCACGTTACAAATATGTCACATTAACCCCATAAAGCCTGAAATATGAAGTAATAGTGAGAAACATCCAATTGTTTGAAACAGAACAGTTGAACCTATCATATTTGATCCATCAGGTTTTTATGGCTCATATAGTATGATATAGTGAAAACTTCAAAATTAAAAATTAAACAGCTGTTTTATTCAGAGGCCCAAACTGAGCAAAAAAGATGCTGATATTTATATGGCCAAAAAGTTGATGTAAAGGATGATGCTTGCGATATAAATCAATGAGATCTTTATAACAGTATAGCTGATACTTACATAAAATTATATAAATATTAGTCGTCACTCTGTATCCCCAATAATATCTCTATATAATAATATATAATGTAAGATGAGATTTAAATGCTTACTTTGATGATCAAAACATACACTCTCAGAAAAAAAGGTACAAAAGTTGTCACTGGGGCGGTCCTTTTCAAAAGGCACACCTCTGTACCCAAAGAGTCCCTATCGGTACCTTAAAGGTACATATTAGTACCTAAAAGGTACAAAAGTGTACCTTTTGAAAAGGTACCACCCCAGTGACAGCTTTTGTACCTTTTTTTTTCTGACAGTGTATAATGCAAGGCCACACAGTGATGATTGAGAGATGAATAAATAAACGTTCCTCAGAAGATGTGAGATGCTTGTGAAGATCATTCCTCCGCTGAGGAACAGTGAAAGTAAAGCTTCTGGAAACAAACGCTCCTCAAAAGATCCTGATGATCAGATTTGAGACGCACTGATTTTTCTAGAAAATGATTGATGGAGAATCAAGTAAAGCCGAGCTGCTTCAGTCTAGTAAGTGTTTATCTGGAAATATTACTTGCATCTTACGTTTTCTGGATAAAAATCAGATTTGACAGCAAAAAGACACGTGAAGCACGAGCTGAAGGTGGATGGTGTACAATTATATTAATAAATAATAAACTAGCAATTACTTGCATCTTACGTTTTCTGGATAAAAATCAGATTTGACAGCAAAAAGACACGTGAAGCACGAGCTGTACTGTATGTGTGTGTCTTTATATATATACATAATAAATATACACAGTACACACACATATATTATGTAAACAAAACCTATATTTTGGATGCGATTAATTGCGATTAATCGTTGTCCATTACTAAATGTAATATATCAAATATTAAATCTGAGGATGCTGATGCATGTCTATATGTGCCAAACTGACTGATTGACTCGCTGTAGACTGTAAGACTGTTCAGTAACTCTTGTATGTTTGTAGGGTATCAAGAGGGCAGTGGGTCCTGGAGGTCAGATACGGATGCCTGTGGTCATAACACAGATGGTGCGAGCGACAGGTGAGCAAACACAGATGACCTTCACATCTAACAATCATTCATTCATTCATTCATTCATTCATTCATTCATCATCTTTGCATGAAACTCCTGCCGTCTGATCACACACACACACACATACAGGTGTGCACACACAGATTTGATCTGAGTCTTTCTGTTCCTGTCCATCATAGTCTGATCTCTTATATTTTAGCCCTTAAAGTGGATTTTCAGGGGGGAAGTTTCTAAAAATACTGTCTCCTGTAGCTGTGGGCTAAGAACATGCCTCTTATCACGTTCAAATGCACCCTGCCAGTCACTGTGTGTGTGTGTCGACACATTGAGGAGTGTATAGAGACAGACTGAGAGAAAGATATAAAAAAACAGAGAGATGCATGCAGACAAAAGCAGAGAATCAGTAAAAATGGCAGCTCGCCCTGTTGTTCTGTCTCTTTTCGGGTGCATCTCATGAAACCGGTCAAGAAAATGCCCGGGTCATATTTCACCATAAAGTCAATTTGAAAAATTGAGGAATTAATATTTATTATTAATTTCTTTGGTTGCATTTTACTTGAAGCTTTTCTATATAATGCAGTATTTTTAATGCATTAATTATGCACCCTATAATAATTGTAACCATAGTTATAATACATTATACTACGTATCGATTCAATGCATTAAAACACAACAAACAACATATTTCAGGTATAGTAAGGAATCTGCAAATATTCTAATGCATTTTAATCTTGGTTGCAATTATTTATGAAATGAATACCTATATAATGCATTATACATAAAGAGTTCAAGTAAAGTGTTGGCATTATTTGATTTATTATTAATTATTTTTATTTTTATTTGAAAGGAAATAAAGCCTGTGTCTATTGTGACACTATTTTCATGACAATTAAACACATTTCCTTCTAACAAACCCCCCCCCCCCCTCATTTTTATTATTGTAATGCAATAAATGTTACATTATTTATTTTATAATTTTGTAATTTATACTCTATAGATTTAAAATCAACATAATTTATAGATATAATAATAATATATATGATTTAATTTATAGATTTATTTGTTTTATTGGCTTTATTTTTTGATCATGTAATTTAATACATTTTTACAGTCTAAATTACTCATTTACAGTAATGACCTCAATCTATAATAAGAAAAAAGTGAGTTACAAAAACTATCCAGAGACATTACAGTAATGAGACTTTTGTGGTCAAATGTGTCTAATTGTCAAGAAAATAATGTCACAATGCGAGAAATCGTAATGTTTCTAAAACAGGCTTCATTAGTTTTCTGCAAAATAATGTGAAACGAGTCTGAGCAGAGCTGGTTGAGGTGTGATGAAAATAGGTGTGTATGTTCATGATAATGCTGTCTTGTCTTTTCCCAGGTGCTTTAGGGAAGCCTGCGGCGATCCAGACGGGCAAAAGCCCTGCGGGTGTCACCATACAGCTCTCAGGAAACCAGAAAAACAAGCTGAATGACCCGGGGGGAGGCTCCTTCAGGTACGGGGTGTGAGCTGTAATACCGGCCGCTGACACACGGGAGCAGCGTTTCACCAGCAGGCCCTCATCCTCCTGATGCTTTCTTTTCTTTCTTGTTTGCTCGAAACTGTGGCTCAGAACCTCAGCCAGACCGAACACATGAGAGTGCTTAACATGAAATAACTCATGGCTTTAGTGTCTGGTTAACCGGACGGTGCTTTCTGGTCATTTCAAAACAAGCTAAAATAACTTAAAATGAACACAGCATTAAAGTAATTACAATATTTGTAATATTTAAATAGAATTATAATGGAATTTAATATTTATATATGTGTAAATATAATAAAATATAAATAATATAAGTATATATATATATATATGTATATGTATATGTGTGTGTGTGTGATTAGTAATATGCATTGCTAAAGACTTCATTTGGACAACTTTAAAGATGATTTTCTCAATATTTAGATTTTTTTGCACCCTCAGATTCCAGATTTTCAAATAGTTGTATCTCAGCCAAATATTATCCTATCCTAACAAACCACACATCAATGGAAAGCTTATTCATTCATTCATAAATCTCAATTAAAAAAAAAAGTTTTGTGGTCCAGGGTCACATATATAAGTATATTAAGTAAAAAAAAACAAAAACGTCTATTTAGTATTTTGTATATTATATTTCATTTACCGAAAAGGATTTATTAATATTTTTATTTTGTCAACAGTAACAACACTGTTTTGTATAAATTTTGAATATAAAATATGATTAAGTAGTTTATGAATAGTTCATCTCTTTTTTTTTTCTCAGTATAACTTTGCTGTCTTGGTATTCATTCATACATTATGGCTTTACAGTAAGACCTATAGTATTTGGCGGAAACTGTGGTTATCATGATAAATTGCATGATAGCTTCAGTGTTTATGAGACAAAGATATTGCGCAAATATGAGAATTTGTATTTGTTTTTGTGTTTGAATGTTGCAGTATCATATAAACAGGCTTTAGTTCTGTTCCAAACTGAATTTAAAGTTACTGTACTGATGCAACATGATGCAGCCTTCCAAAACAACTTGTTTTGGCCAAATCCGCAGGTATCCTAATGATAAATTTCTCACTTCTAAGAGCCTCGAATGTAATCAAGTGCTGGTTGAACTTGATTGGAATCAGTTGTGAATCATGTGAGCAGCACTATTTGTTGCTGCCTATGTAGGGCGTTTGATTTCAGGTTAACTGCCTATGTAGAGTGTGAACAGTGAGGGTTTAAGAGAGCCGTTTTGTGTGTGTGTGTGTGTGTGTGTCACAGGTCACAGAGTTCTCCGCTCTCTCTCTCTCTCTCTCTGCTCAGGGCTTCAGCCGCAGGCGCTGATTGATAAACCAATAAATCTTTAGCAGTGTAGCTAATTAAGCTGTCAGGTTTATATATATTTAGTTTACATTTTAGTTTAGGTTTTAGCATGTTTATGCACTTTTGCCATTTTTATTAGTTTTTTTATATTTAAATATATAATATTATTATATTGTATTTTATTATTATCATATTGTATTATTATATTATGTTTTATTATATTTTTATTGCTTATTTAATTTCATTTAACAAACACACTAAAACTTAATCTAAAATTAAAATGCAAACTGAAAAGACAAAAATATGAATTAATTATATTAAATATCGAAATATTTACCTTTAATTTTTTTTTGTATTTGAAGTATTTTAACTTCAATTTAAAATAGACTTTTCAATTAGCTGTAATTAGAAATGTACATTTTCATTTTATATTTATATTTTATTTCATTTTTTTTTTACTTAATTTTATTTACCAACTATGTATTAATAGTTTTAGTCAACAATAACAGCACTGAATATTTTTTTTTATGAATATTGAATATTTTGTGTTATAATTAAGTTAACAATTGATTATACAAGCAATATGTTTAAATTATTATGTTGATTTTGATTGTCGTTTCCAGTGCTTCATGAAATAAGCAGACCATTTGATTCACTCAGTACTTTTTCTTCTTGAAGAAAAGATTCACTCAGTACTTTTTCTGGTTAAAAATGATTAACTACTTCAAGATCAAGTATTTCAAATACTTATATTTGCTTCAAATGAACATTTTAATTAGATGGCTGGTGTGGTTAAAGGCATAAAACTAATCATTCAATATTTTTTGAAAATCTTTACAGTGAAAATAAAGGGGCAAAATACTTTAAAAAGAAAAACACATAATAAAATAAAATACTTAAAAAAAAAAAAAAACCTCATGTTCTTCACAGTTTTGGCGGGAACTTTAGTTACCATGGTAACTTTTTTGTAAAGGGAAGCTGAATGGGACCGATCATTTATGACAGAAGAAAGATGAATGTGACACACTAATAATACTCCTGACTTCTACAGCAAACTCTTGAGTTGCTCTCCTTCATTTCTCTGCTGTGTGGCGGCAGCTAGGCTAACATGCTAACTCTGCGCAGTGCTAATGGCCTCTGTCAGCTCCTGCCGCGGTGTCAGGACTCATAGACACCCTGGCCAGTCTGGGAGAGGCTCTGGCAGGGGGCGGTGGGGCTGTACGCACACACGGGCGCGAGATGCCAGGGGGTCAATGTCAGAAACAGAGGTACAGACGCGGACGTAAATGAAAGCGGAGCGGAGTGAACTTTGACCTCTGTGATCGGAGCCATGAAGTTTTCAGCAGTGCTGCGGGTGCAGGAAACTCCGCCGCTAATGTGCCGTAATTAGGACACTGTTACCAAGGCAACGGGGAAAAAGGGAGAGAAATGATTGGGTGGAAAAGCTGCCAGTCACACTGATGGAATGCCATGCTTGCCTAATAACGTTAACATATGCTAGTATAGTGTTTATTTATATTTTGAATTAGCTTTTATTTTTTTAATTCAATTAATTTGAATAATTAATTTGTTTTTTATTAGTTAATTTTTATTAGTTTAAATTTTTATGTTTCTATTTAGCTGTATTTTTATTTCAGTTTTAATTTGAGTAATTTCAGTACTTCAACTTGCAGTATTATTTTATTATTATTTATATAATATTTATAAGTTTATTAATAGTTTGAATTAGCTTTTATTTGTGTTTTAATTTTAAAGTTTTACTAACTTTTTGTTTTTTCATTTTTATTAGTTTTATTTATTATATTTCTATGTAGCTTTAATTTATTTTTGTTTTAATTTGAGTACTTTTAGTACTTCAGCTTGCAATGTTATTTTATTATTATTTATATACTGTTAATAGTATTTATTCATATTTTGAATGAGCTTTTTTATATTTTCAGCATCATGCATTTTTTCTAATTTCTTGTGCTTTTGTCATTTTTTTATTAGTTTATTTTTTAATATTTATATTTAGCTGTAATTAATTTTTATTTGTTTTAGTTTTAGTCATTTTAGCAGACCTACTTAAACTTTTCATTTCAGTTTATTATCTAATATTTATATTTAATTTAATTTCAGCTTGATTTCAATCACTGGAAGGGATTTTAAACAGTTTTAGTTTTACACTGCGACCGATGGCTCAGTCAGAATGAAAAGCCACCTCTGCTGGAAAAACAAATGATCTAATTAAGTTTAATCTGACTGAACTTTTTGTCTAATTACACAAGGTGGTGCAGATAATCCGTTAAACATTAAATCTGATTTCTTTCATATTCAGTGCACACGTGTCAAGGACAACTGCAGAGATGTTTTTGGAAGAGGAGCTGACATCGAGCTCATATGTTTACACCAGATTCACTGTTTCTAATTCTCGTGTTTTGTTAAGCAAAGTCATCGAAATGAGAAGACAGCTTTCTGGTCATATTTTTAGATAAACTGGAAAGTCAAACACATCAGTAAAGCACCAGTAAATGCTGAGTTTAACTTTTTCAGTCAGCTGACTCTGTGACTTTGTCTAACAGAACTCGCATGCACATTCACGCTCTGCCATTCAAAAACATGTCCATGAACATTTATTTATTTATTTAACATGCACATTCCCATTGTTCATAACACATGTGGTCCACATGGGTAGTTGACAAATATCATATCCAGAAACATTTATTTATTGTTTGTTGGTCTCATGCTTATTCCCATTCTGTTCATAATACATGTGATGCTCATGGGTGAAGCACAAAACATGTCTAGGAACATTTATTATATTTATTTACTTTGTTATTTATTTATTAATTTAATTTAATTTTAATTTTTTATTTGTGTATCTATTTATTTATTTTTGCATACATGCACATTCCCATTCTGTTCAGAATATGTGTATTATGCAAGGATATTTGACAAATAATATATCAGTGAACTTTTATATTTATTTATTTAATTTTTATTTGATATTTAATAAAACATTTTCAATATTTAAAACAATATTTTTTCAAATACCACTAATAGCTAATCAGTTTTTTTTTGTTTTTTTTTTGTAGGTTTGTTCATTTCATGCTGTGGCATCTTTCATTTAATGAAAAAAATGCATGAACAACTTTGATCATAATAATACATTCAAAAAATAATGCATTTTTTTTTCATGTAAACTTCACTGGCTGACCGTAGAATATCAAGTGCTTTGATTTAGTGCTAAACGAATATGCATCATGTTATTATTACTCTGAGTAGCTCTATAATAACGTGCTGTGAGATCAGACTGATGCTTGTCTTGTATTGCAGAGACGATGATGACATCAACGATGTTGCGTCTATGGCTGGTGTGAACCTCAACGAAGAGAGCGCGCGCATTCTAGCGACCAACTCTGATCTGGTGGGAACGCAGATCCGCTCCTGTAAAGACGAGGCCTTTCTGTCTACAGGTCTGTTACACCGGCGTATACTGGAAACAGGTACAGTACCTCCACGACAAACACTCCTCAACCATGTGGCTTGTTTACAGTGCTAAATATATGTGTAGAATTATATAAAAAGCTCTCCCAAGGACACATAAACCCATCTGTGATGATGTGGAGTTATTCTGGAGAGCCTGGAGCTTTGATACCTTCTCTGTTCTTGTGAATGTAGGCCAGTCCACAGTCGCTTTGGGCCACCAGGAGTGTGTCCTTTTTGTTCCACCAAACACTCGCAATCCTGAACGAGGAAATCTCACCCGAATCATACCGGAACGGTGCTTTACATTTCCGGTCTCTGGTGTTTCTAGTTAAATGAACATATTTTCAGAGCTGATAATACAACATTTAGGGCTGTCACGATTTCTCGATTAACTCTCGTGTCGATTAACCGGCAAAATACCGGAAGTGGCACATTCCACGGATGAGAATCCATTAAAAGCATTATCAGAATGTTTTCTAAGACTGCACAAAATATTAAAACCATTTAAAAATCATAATAAAGCATAGTGCTATTGTGAATTCACAAAGGCTGCAATTGAATTAAATGTGGGTTTAATATGCGCTTTATTTATATGCGTGTAGGTTACAGCTCCATTCACAGTAAATGCTGCTCCACACAAACAGTTGGGCTGTAAGTGTAAAAACAATCATCAGGCCGTTGGCACCCTCTGCAAGCATTTGATAGAATACATAATGTACATAAGTTATGATTATATTGTTTTATTACAGTACATTATGTATTTTAACCATTTTGATCAATAAAACCATAAGATTACTTGCTTTTGATATTTGAACCAATTATTATTGCCTCATTGCTATTAGATATGTATTTTAAGTAGTGCTGTCAATCGATTAAAAAAATTAACTGATTAATCGCACATTTTTTCCTGAAATTAATCGCAATTAATCCCACCCAACATTAACATTTTTAAATATACTCTACATTCAATCTTCAAATTAATGTAGAAACAACATCTTTTTTTATTACTGAAGGCAAGAATCATTGATACCAATACTGATGTTTCTATGAAATTGGTCTTTTTTTCCCAAATATTTAACCATTGAATATATCCATTCAACATTACAGTATAATTGAGAGCTATCAATTTGAACATTTATTAGACTTTAAAAAATAACAACTTCTAATTTAAGTGAACTTAAAAAAATCTCCACATAAACCCATTATAATAAATGTCATGTTTACTTGTGCCCTTCAGCAAGTAGGAAATATACAGAAATTGAAAGTTTTCAAACACTAAATTCTAAATTAAATATAGATGAATCCTTAAAGCTACAAAAGTTATTGATTTCCTCGTTTTTCTTTTGTTCTTTGTTGAATAGGCTTCACAGCAGCTGGTTATTAGGTTATTTGGCTGCTATTACTTTAAGAGCTGCCGCTGCTGAACGTGGCGCGGATGTGACACGCACCTGCTGCTGAGGCGAAGTTGGTGCGTGCGTCTGAAAATTCTCCCGTTTGATGTGGTCTTAAAGACATTCTGCATCTAAATAAATGCAATTCTTTTTAAGAAAAAAGAGACAGAAGCAGAGATCGTGAGTGGGGTGGCCAACCATAGCCCCGCCCCTGCATTAACTCCGTTAAATATTGTTAATGCCATTAAACTGGAAAAATTAATGGCCTGCGTTAACACGCTAATTTTGACAGCACTAATTTTAAGTAATTTTAAAGGCTATTGTTTATTTGGGTCTATTTTTATTACCACAAAAAAAAGATCAGATTACTTGATTAATCGTCAGAATAATTGACCGATTAAACAGTCACCAAAATAATCATTAGTGACAGCACTAATAACGTTTTATTTAATTAAAAAGCACATGGCGCTATAGTTTAGTCATTTTATAGTGTCGCAATGATGGTATTTTTGTAGTAACTCACCTGTCATAGTTTAATGAGTGGGTGGATGACATGAAGCGAATACAGAGTTGGAAAAAGAATGCAGAAAGAATACAGAGTTGACATTTAAAAAGATGTTTGTACATAATACACAAAGTATCAGCAACACAGTATTTTAACAAGCCATGATTGTTTTCTTGTCAGTGTTTGACACATAATGCAAAGCATACGCTGCTGGACACGGACAGATTGGCTGGTTCGCAAAACAAGTACTGTACAGGAATTGCTTAAGTTTATTGCTGTTACTGTGGCAGCCAGCAACAGCACAGCTTAGCCCTGTGCACATTTTTATATTTAGTTATACTTAAAAAAAAGTTTCAGTTTAATGAATTCAATCAATCTTTTTACCCTGTCTTAACATGGGTTTCTGTGGAGACTGGAACATGACAGCATTCAAATGGAAGTTAGAATCCATCATGGCGTGCTCATCGGTTACTCAGGAAAAAGGTGGACATCAGAATTGCATTGATCGTTTTTATTGGTGTCCCTAGAATGTTTTATATTTGTGGTTCTGCATCTTTTCAACTGGATCTTAAACAGTTTTCACATTGTTAAAGGGTCACGGCATGAAAATGGTCCGCCCTAGTCAGTCTGTCATGCTGTCGATTACCACAGAGAAATGTTCGACTCATCCTTCTGTTTGTGTAAATAACAAAAAGAAAAGCACTTTGCAATGGCCGCTTGTAATGAAAGCTGAATGTTTGTCCGCCTAGATTTCCATCGTATCCGCATATCTGTCAACACGCTTATTTAACCTGGAACATTCCTCAACATATGACCACCAACATTTATATCCAAACAAATGCTAGAATATACACTACCATTCAAAAGTCTGGGGTTAGGAAGACCTTTTTATGAAAGAAATTAACACTTTGTTTTAAAGCAAAGACTCTGTAAATTGACCAAAAGTGACAGTAAAGACATTTATTATGCTACAAAAGATTTCTATTTCAAAGAAAAGCCGTTTTTTGAACTTTCTATTCATCAAAGAATCCTGAAAAATAAAATGTATCACAGTTTCCACAAAAATGTGAAGAAGCACAACTGTTTTCAACACTGATAATAATCAGAAATGTTTCTTGAGCAGCAAAGCAGCATATTAGAATGATTTCTGAAGGATCATGTGACACTGAAGACTGGAGTAATGATGCTGAAAATTCAGCTTTGATCATGAGAATAAAGTACATTTGAACATATTCACATAGAAACCAGTTGTTTTAAATAATAATAATATTTCACAGTTTTTACTGTATTTTTGATTAAATAAATGTAGCCTTGATGAGCAGAAGAGACTTCTTTCAGAAACATTAAAAATCCGGAAATCCAACCCCAAACTAAATAAAATTTAGTATTAAGCTAATTTTTCGCAATGAGTTTCACATTGAACTAAAATACGATTTCTCTCACAAAATGCAACTATCATTAGATGTAACATTTCCAGACTAGAATCGTATGGCTTGTATGAAGTTCTTTCCTCACAAACTAGTTTAAACTAGATGTATAGCGCTTGTTCTGTCACCCTTGTGTTCGCTACACATTAGATCTCAGTTAAGCGTCAGAAGCTCTAGGGCATCTGTTTTAGCGCGCGTTAGCGTGACCGTCGAGCTGTCGCTGGGAGCGCGGTGTGCGTTAGAAACAAGTAATTCTTCTCAAAGGTGCAGGCGTGTGTGTAGGACGACGAAGCGCCCCCTGCTGGGCCGTGGCGGAGCGGCGGTGTGGTGTGGTGTCGTTGATGGGCTGCTGGAGAGCTCGTAGGTGACAGCGAACCAAGGGAGGCACAAATCCTGCCAGCTCGGCTCAATCTGAGAGAAACTCACACACACAACCTCAATGAAGACGAAGAAGAGAATGATGTATGCTCCCGGCGCCTATTTATACTATGCCAGGCAACGAGTTGGTGTTTTTTCAATGTATGCTTCAGACACGGGTCACGACAAGGCATTCCCCCATAGCAATCCCTAGAGGACGCAGTTCGAAGTTCCCATGAAAGGGAACTCCCGAAAGCCCTGATTCACCCTCAAACACAAAGATCACATCCGTTACACTCGCTCATGCTATTTTAAACAGTTATCCTGTATTTTACTTTTCCTCAACATCAAATCGAAAATTGCAGCCTTTGTATTTTGTGTGTGCATTCTTAGTCCAAACAGTAGAGCATGATGCCAAGGCCATGGGTTCTTTTTGTAAAAACTTAAATGTCAAAAAAAAAAAAAAACATGGGGGGATACAGATAATGCAATGCTGTTTTTTTTTGTGTAAAACCTATATTTCAACAAAAATGCAACTTTAAAGAAAAAAAAACAAGTAGAGCAATGCAGAAAAAATAGTTCATGGATTCAGTTCCTTTGGAATGCATGGGCTAATAATAATAATTTTTTTTTTTTTTGCAAACTTAAATTTGTAACATAAAAAGCCACATCCAAGAACAAAAGATAAATGAGGAAAAAAATAAATGTAATAAAAGTTACAGTTTATTTAAAAATTGTTTTATAAAGCTTTTTAACTGGAGGAGTTTTTTTAAGTGATGATAATAGTAAATGTAAATCTGAAGCACATACAGTTGGGTTTAAACTAAAGGTATCTTGCTTTGTGAATATGGTGTTTACCCATCATACAAATGAAGTTTAAGACATCATCTAACACCTTATATCCACCTTGAATTCAATGCAATGTTAGTCACTCTGGATAAAGAATCTATCAAATGCATAAATGCACATGTATTTACAGTATATGTCGTTTATGCATGTTGCTTTAAGAGGATCAAGCCTGCCAAAAGAAGGCTCCAGCTGCGTCTCGAGTATCTCATGTAAACCGTGTCAGATCAGAGTAATTGTGTAGCAGAACTGACCTGCAGGATGATTTTCGTCTGCAGGGACTGAAACCTGTCCACCGCTGCTCTCTCTTCTGACAGATTGTTTATAGGTGACGGCAAGGAAAAGTTGATTTTGATGCTTCTAAGTTTTAAAACACTGCTAAACCTGCATGAAGGGATTTACAAATCATTTTATTCTCTAAAAGCAGCTTATTTTTTTTATTTTGTAGAACGGAAATTCTTTGTAGAACAGTTCATCTAAATGCTTCATGCTTCTTGTGCTTTTTAAAGAACCGTGGCCTTAAGAAACTCCTCATGTTTTGACATTCCCAAGATTTATTTTTCCCGTTTTTAGAAAAAAATATCTCGTTTGGAGTCATTAAGGGCACTTTCAGCACGTTTAGCGGCTGATTTAAATAATTGGTGTGATTTTCTCAAAATAACAGTGGAAGGAGAACTTATGTTAATAGCAAATTAAAGATGGGGATGTTGTAGATAGAAGCGCTCTGAAGGTTTGCAGCGGTCTTTAGAAACTCTGGTACTAATTATCCTTTAATGTAAAAGTTGTCAACTCGTGTGAAAGAGCTGCTTTTCTCTTCCCCTTTATTTTTTCATAGGAAAGAATAATCACAGATTAAAATGTCAGTCTCAGATTTTTCTCATCAGTATCATTCTAATGAAATGAGATAAGTTCCATTATATCTCAGATGTTTCTCCTAATAAAAATACACCCCGTAATCTTTTATTTTTCTTAAAAATGTCTCAATCTGTGCTCAGATATGCCAAGATCCCAGTATCTGCAATCAAAAGATTTCAATAGGAGCTTAGACATTTCTCATTGGATTGCTCCAGTATCAAATGATCAGCTGCTATCCATGTTCATTTTATAGCTCTGTACATTTACTGTACAGACTTTGTGTCTGTTTTTATGTTTCTTAAGAATTTTTTAGGAGAGACAGAGTTGCTTAAGTCTCTTGAGCTCTTCTGGGTGGTTGGATCAGCTTTGCAGACCTTCCAAACCACAGAGGCTCATCCAAACTCATTTTACTGTAATATCAGGAAATCAGGTTTGAAAACGAGTCACGGGAGTGAGAAAACATCCTCTCCACATATTTGTGTTTTAAATGCAGGTCGTGTCGGTTCATCATAACAACCCTTTGTGGTTTCAACACACATTGGACCTTTTTGTAGAAGATTTATAAGATAGGACAGATGTAATGTTCTCTCGCTGAACTTCCTTCCAAACATCTGCGCGGTGATGTGTTTTGTTTGATTATTGATATTTTCGTAACATCTGCATCTGCGTCTTTCTTGTTTCAGCGAAGAGGTTTGGAGTGACGGACGTACCGCTGGAGGCTGTGAACTTCATCTCTCACGCCACCCAGTCCAGATTACGGACGGTGCTGGAGAAAGTTTCCTCCATTGCCCAGAACCGAATGGACTCGAGTAAGGTACGAGATGTGTGGAAGACATGCTTTAATTTATATATAGTTACTTTTGAAAGTAATATATTGCAATATTGCGTTACTCCCTAAAAAGTAACTACTTAGTACCTAATTAAAGTAACTACTTACTTTTTATGGAAAGTAATGCATTTTTGTAGCACTTTTGTGCTACTTTTTCTCATTTGGGCTGGACTTGCTTGTTTGTTTTTAATATAAAAGTTCTATTTTTGGCAAAGGTAAAAGCTCTTTCATACCAAAAGTAAAATGAATAAGCCTGAGGCTGAAGGAAATGTGCATTCACATTTAATGCATTTCTTCATCAGTTACTTGAAAAAAGTAATTTGATTACGTAACTCGCGTTACTTATCAACAGTGCTTATATATATCCTGTGTTGCTGTAAATAGTTTTCTATAAAGGACACTAATGTCATCCGACAGTCACAAACACACATTATTTAATTTGTCTGCTCACAGCAAAAACTAATCAAACATCATTAACATGAAAATCATTTGCCTGTTCAACACTTTAAACATTTGAAGAGAGAAACTATGATTTATTTAGGAACACGCTACATAAAGTTCTATATGTTAAAATTAGTTATGCATGAAGTTAGGTATTTATTTGTCTGTTTACCGGTGTATACAACACCCTAACAACCATCCAGAACACCCTAGCAGCTGCCTAGTGATGCCCTAGCAATACCATAGCAACCACCTTGTATACCCTAGCAACTGTCTAGCAATACCTAAGAAACCACCCAGAAAGCCCTAGAACGCATCTTGATCACCCTAGCAACCACTTAACAATGCCCTAGAAACCATCTTGAACACCCTAGCAACCACCTAGCAATGTCTTATTAACTATACAGATCTCTTTGTCAGCACCCTATCAACCACCTAGGAACACCATAGCAACCACCCACATCACTATTCCAATACTCAAGAAACCATCCACGTTGCCTAGTGATACCCTGGCAATGCCCTAGCAACCACCTACAGCAGCCTAGAAACCAGTCACATCACTCTAGCTTAGTAACACCTTAGCAACCACCCAGAATGCCCTAGAAACCCTTTGGAACACCCTAGCAATAACCTAGCAATGCACTCAACCATATAGAACTTCTTGGCTACACTCTAGCAACCACCCAGAAAGCCCTAGCAACCATCGAGAATACCCTAGCAACTACCCACATCACCTTGACAACAGCTTGCAACACCCAAGTAACCATCTTGGACATCCTAGCAGGTGCCTAGCAACACTCTAGCAACCACTCACAACAGGCTAGCAATTGCAGTAACCTAGCAACAACCTTGAACACCCTAATCACCGCTTAGCAGTTCCCTAGCAACCAAACAGAACTCCTTAGCAGCACCCTAGCAACAGCCTTGAAAGACCCAAGCAACCAACCAGAATACCCTAGAAACATTCTGAACAACCTAGCAATTCCCTAGCAACCACAAGTCTTGGCAACACCCTAGGATTGACTTAAAGGGTTAGTTCACCCAAAAATTGAAAATTAGCCCATGTTTTACTCACCCTCAATGCATCCTAGGTGTATATGACTTTCTTCTTTCAATCGAATCCAATCGAAGTTATATTAAAAATTGTCCTGGCTCTTTCTAGCTTTGTAATGGCATGGGCGGGTGTTTTTGTTCAACAGTCCAAAAGTAGTCAAATAAAGCGCACGCATCCATAAACGCGCATCACACAGCTCCGGGGGGTGAATAAAGGCCTCCTGCAGCGAATCGATGCGTTTTGATATAAAATATCTATATTTAAAACTATATAAACAGTTTTGTTTAACTTCCACTAACTGTCGACAGAAACAGACAGGTAAACAATTTTAATTTTTGGGTGAACTAACCCTTTAAAATGCCACAGCAGCCACCCAAAACACCCTAGCAACAACCCAAACTGCCATCGAAACCATCTTGAGCACCCTAGCGACCACTTAGCAATGCCCTAGCAAACAGAACTTATGGCAGCACCCTAGCATTGACCCAAAATGCCCCAGCAGCAATCTAAAACACCCTAGCAACATTATAGCAACCACCCAAACTGCCATAGAAACGATCTTGAACACCCTAGCGACCACGTAGCAGTGCCCTAGCAATCACTTGTCTGTCTAACTGGCTGTTTTACTGAAAAACTTGTCTGGTTTGCTGAAGTTTGTCTTGATAAACTTTCTGGTTGTATGTATATTCTATTGTTAGTTCACTTTGCATGTCTGTGCGTGCAGCTTTAATGTTAAAATGTATTAGATATATGCATATTTTTGACTGTTAGCTCATGTTAACACACATAATCGTATTGTAAAGCGCAGCTGAAATCCTGCTGTTGAAGTGCAAACTTTTGGGCACATGAATTACAAAGAGACAGAAGCAGACAGGTAAACAATTCCGTATTCAAACCCACAGCCAGAGAGTCCGACACGCTCTTTCCCCGCATCGCATTAAACACAGTGCTCTTTCAAGAGACTCGCATTAACGGGAACCCAAAACAAACCCACAAAGGAGGAAAAGCAGGTGGCGGAGCGCTTTAAAGGCTGTTTATTTGTGTAAATGGCGAGTAGTTTAGCGGAGAGCAACGCTGTCACGGACGCACGTTTTGTTTTTTTGTTTTTCTGTTTGGTGTGTGTTGTGGCTTTTTTGTTGCATTTGCCGCTCTCCGCGCGCTGCTTTATAAATGAGCCGTACGAGACGCGTCTGTGTGAAGAAACTGACATCAGCAAAAAACAAGAGCGTCCTGAAAGAGGCACGGCTGACTTCATAGCCAACAAAGGACAGGAGAGACGGAGGCAGGGATGAGAGCTTGTCAGAAAATGAAAAGAGGCAGGGGTAGCGCAGGAAGTGCACAAAACATTGAGGTCGCGTTCTGAAGTAAACATGTTTTTTGCGCTCGTCCCGTAAACTTCCGTCTCACCTGCCTAAGAAGAAAGTTTTCATCGTGATTGAGTCATAAACACTCATAAATAAGTTAAACTGTGTATCAAAACTTCTCTTGATCTCTTTCTCTCTGCAGGAAGACGAGTGGTTCGAGCAGTCATCTGATGTGCGCTCACAACTCAAGTTTTTTGAGCAGTTGGAACGAATGGAAAAGCAGAGGAAAGATGAGCGAGAACGAGAGATTCTCCTCAGAGCGGCGAAGGTAATCTGGCACCTCGTATTCTCAGATCCATAAGCATTAATGATGGGATCTCAGCTGCAGAAGAACAGAAATTCTGCACCTTGCTACAAACTGGATACATAAATGGGTTAGATTGCCCACGCTTGTTAATTTAAGTTATTGTATCAACCACAAACCATCTTTGCTTAATAAGCTAAAAAAGTCACTTGTATCAGTTCTAAAATCTATAGACATTTTCTTATTGAAATTGACTAAATATTATGTAAAATGAGTGGCATCATTAAACTGTATTATGTTTATTGACATTCAGTTGTCCATTAGCTATCCTGATCGCAAGATATCAATATCTTCATCGATCATACCAGTCAGACCCATAAACCAATGAACATTAAAAATTCATTCAGCATCAGGATTTCCCAAACTAGGGTTCATGAACTGAATTAAAAAAGGTCAAATTAAAACAAATAAATAATTAAAAAATAAAAACAATCAAATAAAACACCTACAAAAAGTTGTTTTTGTAATATTTAATATTTATTTATTTTTAAAGATTTTATTGGTTTGCCTGCATGTTGTGTAACCATTGACCAACATCAGAGAAACATGTACATGTGAATATACTGATAAATTATAGAAATGTTAACTTAAAATGCTAGGGGGAGTCAATATTTAGGTCAAAATGGCTCATGTGACAAAAAAGTTCGATTAGGTTTTTATAAAACACCAGCCAATAAGATTGTTGAGCCACATGTTGGGTTGGTGTTATTTCAGATATTTTGCATTAATAAATAAATTTGTCATTATCAGATGCCTGAAATTTGCAATAAATCTGGGATTTTCATTGCTTTGTCACCTTCTAGACCAGGGTTATTATAAGTTAACGAAGACTAAAACCTATAAAAAACATTTATTACTTGAAATTAAATAAACTTTTAAATAAAATAAAATAAAATAAAATATAAAAAGCGTATATGTTTCAGCTAGGTGCCAAAGCAACATTTTTCATCTTTA